TGAGAGCTTTCTCTGTAAGATCAAGAGCAAGACAAGGATGCCCATTCTCACGACTGCTATTCAATATTATACTGAAGTTTGAGCAAGAGCAATTAAGCAAGAAAAAGAAATTAAAGACATCTAAACTGGGAAGGAAGAATAAATCTACCCCTTTTTGCAGGTGACATGATCCTCTAGATAGAAGACTCCAAAGGATCCACAAGAATACAACTAGAGTTCATAAATGAATTCAGAAAAGATCAACATACAAAAATCTGTCAGATTTTTTGGATTAACATTTTAAGTATACTCTATCAGACATACATACCCATATATGGTATATACTATTTTATAACTTTTTTGCTAATAATTTTTTATTGTACGTCTGTTATTTAAATCGTTTCCAGTTTTCATTTTTTAAACAGTGTGCACTGAAAATTCTTGTGCACATTCTGGTGATTTTCTTAGGAAACTTATACCCACCACCCACTGCCATCAAATCAATTATGACTCACAGCGATTCTAGAGGACAGAGCAGAGCTGCCCCATAGGGTTTCCAAGACTGTAAATCTTTACAGAAGTAGATGGCCTCATCTTTCTCCAATGGAGCGCTGGCGGGTTCAAACCACCAACCTTGTGATTAGCATTCAAATGCTTTTAACCACTGGCCCACCAGAGCTCCTTTTTAAACCAACAGTTAAGCTAAATCTTACTTTTTTTTCTTCCTCCTCCTCCATCTCTGACTCTACTTCCTCTTCTTTCTCAAAGCGGGAATTTGAGCTGTTAGGCCCAGAGAGCATTAAGTCTACAAGAGGAAAAAAAGAGGAAAGGCTAAATAATTTATCCAATACAAAAGTTGGTGGATTAATGAAGCCAATCACAGAGAATCAGTATTGTCACCCCACCCTTCATGACAGTGGTATTTTTTCCATAAAACATAATCCTAGATTCGCATGGTTCCACCCTGTCAAAGTCCACCACTATTCAACATGCATCCTCCCCCACTTTTGTTTATTCTTCTCTCCACCCGTCCAATCATCCCAGATATCTGGTCAATGACATTCATGGGGGCCTGGTACAGAATCCAGAACTAGGCTGATGACACTGGATGTAAAACAAAGAAAAGCTTTAGTTGCTGCCCTCATGGAGGAACCCCTCCTCTTCCTCTCCACGCCTCCCTGGAATGGTCATCCACTTAGCCTACCTTTTCCTTCCCC